AGATATTTGCATGTATATTTAACAAAAAGCTTACCAAGAGCTATTAAAGAAAAGTTATTTGACAGCATATTTGACATATGCTTTGTGAAACAAAGTAGCTTTAAGTATCAATAATCAGAAGCATTCTTAAAATAGTTCATGTCACTACTGCTGCACTGTAATAATTCACACATTGATGTGCATCCTGATGGGAAGGATATTAGTATCCTAATTTTATCAGCCTTTTCACTGCCTGAAGGGTTCAGAAATCATGGGAACTTTTCAGAAGGCAACACTCAGTACAAAGACTGCTCATTCAGTTTAAAGTGTTCTCCTTGCATCAGAAGAGTTCAGTGAAAAAGGACCTAGTATTGCTTCATTAGTTAGTTAAGCAGCAGAGATTATTATAAAATTTAGCTCACAGAAAGTTCAGTGTTTCTCCTTCAAAATTAACCCCAACTGTTTGATTAGATATTTTATTCAGAAAAAAATTCCTTCTGTTTCCCTAAGTGCCTCTATTGCCTTCTAAGAGGTAATCACAGAAACCTGGAATTATTAAGGTTGGAAAAGATCTCTGAGATCGAGTCCAACCATTAACTTGACCCCTAAGCTGTGTCCCCAAGTGCCACTTCCACACATTTTTAAACACTTTGAAAGATGGCAATTCTAACACTTCCCTAAGTGGCCTTTTCCAGTGCCTGACCACCCCTTCAGTGAAGGAATTTTTCCTGATATCCAATCTAAACTTCTTCTGGTGCAACCTGAGGCCATTTTCTCTTGTCCTATTACTCGCTACCTGGGAGAAGAGACCAGCCTGTACCTTGCTGCAACCTCCTTTCAGGTTGTGGAAGGGTCCTTCTGGCAATCAGCAGCCCAATAAACTTATGAGAAAGTGCAAAGCTGATAAACAAAGCTGAATTTGAGAACATAACCAGCTTGCATAACTGAGGATCACTCGCATTTTTCACTTTGGGCTGAACTGAAAATTGGCAATAACAGCAAACTGTTTCATGACCACAGCTCTTGTTTGAACAGGTACACCAAACAACCTGGTCTAAGCAACAGCATGATCTCTAGGCTCAAAACTCATTTTCTACAGCAGTTTATACAGCTAAGTTTGAGGATTCACTGAGGCAGTAAGCTGCCTCACATCTTCTGCTAAGAACAGGCCAGTGCTGAAGACACTTACTGTTCTTCTTAAGGTCAGAGGTGTTGATCCAAGCCCAGGACTAGATAACTCCTCATATATGCTTCTAACTGGTGGAGCACCACCTTTATCCTTATGTGAAGGGACTACTGGTTGTGGGGGAGACCCTCCTGCAATTCAAAGGAACAAGAGAAGAGCATGAGAAAACTTGTAATTTTGCTTTGGTGCTACTTGTTCTTGAAACTTCAGTAATACATTCAGCCATGCCCTCGTGTTCATTGTTGTTGAGATTTGATTGTTTCACTGGAGGTTTGCAGAACCATCTGTCCTACCAAACTGTTCAGGTTTGAATGTTTATAATACAGAAGTTTGATTTAGAACTTTCAGACCTCTTACTAACCCATTATATTCACTGTTTACATGTTCTTTCTCTGAAGTCTTCAGCATGGCTGTATCTTTCAATTTTAAGCCAGGCTAGAAATCTGTTTTAATTGTTTCAGAGACTAACTTGCCTATAGTACAGATACAACAGCAAGATGTATAAAAATTGAGATGAGATTTATAAAAATACCAAAATGTACAGAGAACATTGCACATTACTGTCACATTCCCACTGTCCAAATTCCTTAGCTTCTCATCTAATTTCATATTAAATAAAAATTGTAACTTCTTGAGAGCACGGACTAGCTTGCATATAGACAGGATGAAATGAAACCAGCCAGGATGAAGTTAAACCAGCTGCCCTCCCATTTTGTAAACTTTGGGACTTCCAGTAGAACAGAGAATTAAATTTCTTGAAATAACTTGATGTATCTTAAATCTTTGTGTGGATTTACCCCATGGGAAAAAAATAGTTTGCATCAAGTTTTCACTTGCAAAACATTTGGAAACCAAGCTTTTCCAATCCTAAATGCTGAGCTTTAAGGCTCTACTCTGAACTGTTTAACACATACAAGAACTGCTACTGTTACATGGAATCATGTGGATTATGTAAAGCACTCTCCCATCAAGGTTTGCAGTTTTTTAAGTGATGTACTTGATCACTTCCTTTGGGAAGTTTGTGTTAGTATCTTACTGGTCACCTTTTCTTAAAATTGATACTCTGAGGCTATAAAAACCCCTTTAAAAACCCATTTGGTGAAATGCACATGATTACTGTCAATTTCATAAATATTTTCCTAAGAGGTTTGTTCCCAGATGTGTAAGGGCAGGCAGACAAGAGCAAGAAGAAGAAGACCAACAAACTTCCAACTATGGAACATTTTAATTTGGAAGGGACCTGGAAAGATCATTGAGTCCAATCCAGCCTGACATTCAAAGAAGAGAATATTTTATTAAGAAAAATTCTTGCAGTAATTTAATCCTCAGTTTTTCCTTCAAAATGACTTCAAAATATTAACACCATCAGATGTTAAATGATGCCAACTGATTTAGTACAAAAGCCAAGTTCACCCATGGCATGTCAATTACTCATTCATTCTTTTCAGAAAAGAAAATAGATGTACAATACTAACATGGGTAAGAACTTCTCCTAGTCTGATTAATTAGATGGCTGAAGAGAAATGAGCATCTACAGCTAGGAAAAGTCACTATTCCAGTCTAACGACAGCAGACATCAAGAGTTTAGCAACACTCACTAGATACTAATCAAGAAGTTTATTTTCAGTTTTTCTCCCCCCAGTTTTTGTAAGTTTGATAACCTGTAAGTTTCCTTTTAGAATCCAAAGAAATACAAAAATTTCTGCAAAGAAATCAGCAGTTTGCACAAGCTGCATTTCCTTTGCCAGCAGGTATCTCTGTTTTCAACATCAATGTATGTGCAATTGACTTGTAATGAGTCATATAAATTGGTTCTGTATTAGGAGAGGTTTATTGCCTTCCCTGTAAAACAAACTTTTCCTGATACCAGGACTGTCACATTTAAAATATTTATTATAATTGAATACAGAGTTCACCACTTAATTAGTGAAGTTTGCTTACACAGAGAGATCTAAAACTATAAGGATTCAAGTCTGCAGCAGTCACGCAGAACAATGAGACAAACAAATTTTGTGCTTTCAGGACAATTTTCCAACACTGAACAAATTCTGACCTGCAAGTAGTGGAGACCTTGTTTCCATGACACCGACTGAAGGGCCGTACAAAGCACGTGGCTGCGGAGTCACTGGTGCAGGTAAGTCACCCATCAAAAACCCAGGGAGGAACTGAGCACTAGTTCCTTGTTTTGGAGATGTCGGGGAGCCAAGAGTCATTGGTTCAGCTCCTGAAAACAAAAGTGAAAGAGAAAGACAAGGCAGCTTTTTCCATTGTGGGCTCCATGAAGGAAACATAACACAAGATACAGGAAGTGATTAAGATCACAGAATCCCAGAACTGTTAGGCTTGGAAGGGACCTCTGGAGATCATCTACTCCAAACCCTGTGCCAAGGCAGGGTCACCCAGAGCAGGTACACACAGAAACGTCCCCAGGTGAATTTGGAATATTCTGGAGGCTCCACAGCCTCTCTGGGTAGCCTGTTCCAGTGCTCGGCTACAAGAAGCTCCTCCTGACGCTGAGACAGAACTTCTTGTTTTGATTTACGGCCATAACTCCTCTCTGTCCCTGGGCATCACCAAAAAGAGCGTGGCCCCACCGCCTCTGAGATATTTACTTGTATGGATGAGACCAAAGCCGGTTTAATCATTCATTTTACAAGTAAGCCGAGTTTATCACAATGTTGTATTTTTCGCAATTTTAAGTGGCGGCAGATCGATCTAACCCCGCTCCCCTTTCGCGAACCGCCTCTTCCCGGCGCCGTGTCCCACCCCGGCTCAGCAGCATCCAACCCCCGCCCAGCGCAGGGGCTCGGTCCCGGCCCCACAGCCCTCACAGCGGCGCGGGAACCCGCGGGGCGCCCCCGGCCGGCCGGGGCAGCGCAGCCCCCGAAGGGCGCCCGGCAGAGCCGGAGCGCGGCCCGGGGCAGCCGCGGGCCCAGTTCACCTGCGGGCGGCAGCTCCATGGCGAAGGCGGCCATGTCGGCCCGGAGGGCGGGAAAGAGGCGGCGGCGGTGGCTCCGCCGGGCGCTTTCAAACCGGACGGAGCTTCCTGCCGCCGTCACTTCCGACCCAGCCCATGAGGACAAAGCGGGGCGGGCGGAGCCCCGTCATGGGGTGAGGGTGTCGGGGTCCGGCATCGGTTTGTGCCGGCCGCTCCCCTCAGGGCTGCCTGGCAAACGGTCCCTCAGGGACGGGCGGGTTGCGAACGGAGCTGAGGGAGCCGAGGGCGCTGTTACCAAGGGCTGGTCCTGGGCTGCTCCCGCGGGCTGGGAACTCGGAGCGGCCTCCCCACCCTGCCTTCCCCAGGGAAAGGGCGTCAGTCAGTGCCAGGCTGCCGGCGGCCGCCGGGACAAGGCAGTGAGCTGCTGCCCCGCCGATACGGGGGTCGGTGACCACGGACAGCGATGGTTGCCTGATCCCCGCATTAACGTTTAGCATAGAATCATGGAATGGCTTGGCTTCCAAGGGATCTTAAAGCTCATCCAGCTCCACCCGCTGCCATGGGCAGAAACACCTTCCACTATCCCGGTGAGCCCTGTCCAACCTGGCCTTGGGCACTTCCAGGGATGGGGCGGCCACAGCTTCTCTGGGCAGCCTGTGCCAGGTCTCCCCACCCTCGGGGTAAATAATCCAATCTCAACCTACTCCCTCTCTTTGAATCCATTCCCCCTTGTCCTGTCACTACAACTGCTCCTACAAATTCCTGTTCTTGAGCAATTCATGCTGAGAACAAGAGAGGTCTTGGTTCAAACACGACAATGTCCTACAGTTAAACTACTGGTACCAGGACAGAACACCAATCTTGAAACGAAACATTTAAAACCACTTTAGCACACAATTTATCCAAACACAGTGATCTCTTTATTTTGTTGCATATTAATATATCAAATCATTAAGAGCTGGCATGAAGGCCACAAAATACTATTAAAATCTTGTCAATATTTTTTAAAAGCATATTAAGACAGTAATTTCAGCCTGGGATCTCTCAGGAAGACAAAATTACACATCCTGTGATCTGTTCTTTACATATGATGTGGAATGGAGTGAGGGGACAGCACCAGATGTAAGAAAAGCCAGTAGCATGAGCAGAGACAAATCATTATTAACATTTTTTTGTATCTCTACTGAAAGGATGTACAGGAAAAAAACCCCTGCTAGGTCCAAGCCTGGACTCATCATGTTAGTGCACTTCAAATCACTACTAGATGAGAAACAATAGAAATACACAAAGCATTAAAGCACCCTATGCATTTTGAGCATCCTCAAAAGACCATAGTTTTAATTAAAAAAGAATAATGGCTGGCTGGCCCACAAAATTCAGTAATATCATCTATAGTTGCAATATAATTTTAAAATCCAATCAGGGTACTTCATTATATGAACATTGTATTATCTTGATTTTACAACCAACTAGGAATGCATGGATTTGGAAAGAAAGCAACTTACCTCAGTTATTTTACTTCCTTTCTCTATTACCTGCATTTTCTGATGGTTCAGTAAGCAAACCATCATTCTATTGTTTTCTAATATTTCAAGGAAAACTGAACTGTATCTTTTTATTAGTGCTCTTGTTGTAGGCAAAACTTCTCTGAAGTCAGTACAACACCATTTGGCCTTTTGATGACATGTTGGAAAAAACAGAGTCAAAGGAGGGTAAGAAAAAAAATATATAAAGACTTGAAAATGCACATGTGAAAGGGGATTTCAAAATGACATTAAAATACATCCAATATCTCTTCCTGTATAGTCAATACACATCATTTCATTTCTCCCTTTGGATCAGTCATGATTGTTTATGCTTCCATTTGTCTTTAAAATCTGTTCTTGGTACTTGTGGAGCTGCTCCATGAAGCCAGGGTTTGGACAAGCTGCAGGCCTCGCATTTTTCACCAAGGAAAAGGCTCTGGCAAAGCTCAGTCTTTCTGAATTCATGAGAAAACCAATGACTACAGCTGCTGCACGGGAGACTCCTGCATTACAGTGAACCAGCACCACTCCATCCTCCAAGAAAGAAATGAAATGTAAGTTATTAACATAAGGATATTCATTAGGTAGATTACAGGTGGAAGAAACTTTACATAAAATTCTTGTAAGACTTATTGAAAGCTGCTTGCTGAGCTTAAAGCAAATATTTACACATATAAGTAAGTCCAAACAAAAATATAAGCATGATATAAGCATGAAATTAAGTATTTTTCTACCCAAAAGTGCTTTATTATTACCAAATCCGTCAAAATTAATTCAAACCACAGTACTAAAACACATCCTCTGTGTTTCTTCCTGAGGCCTTACAGCAGCCTGTTAATGTAAAAACCAAATCACAGATAGACACCTGGGATACTGAAGTATCTGATCTAATTGAGTGCCAGTTTTGAAATAGATTTTATTTGCAATATGGAAAGGAACTTGACAGTATCTTGTTAAAGGTTAAAAACATAGCAAGGCAGCAAAGAGCAGGGCACAGAGGCAGATTTTAGAACATCTTGTAGTCCCAGTTGCATGTTCCTTGTGCTCTCTGCAGGGAGGACTCTGGGTAACAGGGATCATGCACAGGAACAGAAAAATTAGAAAAGACATCATGTGATTTCTAACAGATCTCTCCCTTCCCACCACACCACTGGTACAACTCAGGCCCCTTAACTGGGAACTAGGGTGCAAAATCCAAAACTACTCAACCTCAAATAAACTCACAGATGCTTTTTCTGAGGTTTGAATTCAGGCTTATCCTGAATCATATATAAAATTAATGGGTTTTATCCTTCTTAAACATTTCCCTCACAACCTTTGAGACACCTGAATGGCTCTTTTTAGATTTTGTTGAGAAATAACAAGCCCAAATTAACACAAAGACTACTAGACAATCTAGCAAGCCTTAAGCAAGGCCTAGGCTTTGTGATATTGTCTTGTTTGTGAGTCACACTATGACCTGAAAAAGCCCCTTTGACACAAAAAGAAACCTCCAAACCCTCAGCACTTCCATATTCTGAATGACAATACTCAAACATGGCATGATGTGCTCAGATAGTTGAGGCTCAACAAAATTATTCTAGTTTTAAACAGCCTGTTCTGTCTACCCTTAACAGATACAAGTTACTTAATGGGAATTTTACCCAGAGACAAAAAGGTCTTGTAAGCACCAGGGTTGCTTTCCAGGAACTTAATAGTTTAGGTTACAGATTTGGGAGCTACAATTATCTGGTATTTTAACAGACACACAGACCAGAAAATGGTTTCTGCTCCAAAAATCTTCCAGTTTAAATAACAAGACAAAGAGGTATGAAATGGAATATTATTATCCTTGTTGGAGAAATTCCAAGCTGAGACTAGAAGAATGAGACACAACATTATGACAGAGCTAGGAACAGTCTAAGCTCCTTCATCCCAGCACAGCAAATAATAACAGCCTTCCTTACAATGGAAATCACATCTCCTGTGCACTGCCTGCTGGAAATTGCTCTCTTGATTTTTTTTCTTTTCCTTTGTACAGTTTATTCTTTACTTCCCTCTTTCACATTTAAGTCTGATGTGTCTTTTTAAGTAACTGGTTTGTTTTACGCTGCCAAAAATTATTTAGTGATACTCACTAATCCTGAAAATTAATGAACATGAATGAATCTGGGCCATAATATGAAACCAACTTTAATACTGACAATATTTATCTTTCCTTCCTAAACTCCATTGTTTACAGTTCATACAAAAATGAATTTGCTTGTCATTCTTAACTAATTTTGTATTAGCTGTAAATACAGAATAAAATTGAGGAACAGATGGCAAACAGGAAATTCATCTCTATTTACCAAGAACTCCTTGCTTTGATGCTGATGCTCTGAAATGGTCTGTGGACTTGCAAGAATCAAGTAAGATTCAAGACCAGGTTGGGTTTTTAAAAATCTTTATGGAGAGAGAAACAAAATCACCTTCCACCAGCAGAAAAGGTGATCATACAGTGGTTCTACACAGTGAGCAAAAAGCCTCATCAAGGGAAGAAATTGAAAAGAAGCATAAAGATTTCAGTGCAGTTGAAGGCTAATGAAATTACTTTCAGATCCATCTTACTTTGCAGTGAACTGAGGTGTTTTCCTTAGGAAAGACAGGGGGAGCAATAAGGAGTGATGTTCATGAATAAGCAAAGATTTTCTCTTTGGAAACACAAGATTTCAAAAGTTTTATTATCAGATATTAAAGATATAACAAAAGGATCCCTCATCCACAGTATTATGACTTGACATGGGTCACTGAACATGTAATGGAAAATATACCTGCCAAGTTGGAGCCTAGAAGAAAAGTTGAGCTCTGATCAGTATCAGAATTTGTGCCATGGTGTCTAGAGACTTGAGCCATTACAGTTTTACAAAAGTGAATCCTATTACAAGTAGCCAGCTGTCAATGAACAGTGCAGCCTTCACTTGCATCCTCAAACTCACATGCTCTCATACTTCCTTCATGGACTTAACCATGTTCTAGAAATAGTTTCTCATATATCATGTTCTCTCACAGTTAACATCTCTTCCTCCCCCATTTTAGGAGATGAAACAGGAGTGTCTCTGTGGTTACTTAAGCAGAAGAACACTTCATGACATAATTTATCAGAAGCTCTTTTGACACTATTTTGACAAAGCAACTAAAGTAATTTAAACCACCTAGAGATCTGTCTTTGTATACCACTATCATGTGCTTTTTGAATTGATCCTGGAGAACTATTCCACCAATTACCTTCTCTTTCATCCACCTCTTTCATCAGAAAACTACTAATATTGTTGTAAAAGTTTTCCTGTAAACTCCTTACCTACAAAGCAGTAACTGAGATACAAACACCAGAGGCAGAAAGCAAAATTGTGCAGTTGTGAATGGCAACTCTCATTTAGAAATGAACTGGAAACTGTAATTAGAAACCTTGAAAAGGTCATTTAGTGATAATACGTTATCACGTAGCTTGTAAATTATAAATGAGAGAAGGAAAGAACACTGAGACACAAAGAAAACTGGGGCAAGATCATCTTTTATCCCAATCTACATAAACAATGAACCTAACAGATATGGTAAAATAACACCCAATAATGTTTGGTTGTTGAGTTAGAGTTTAGATACCAAAACAATGGTTGTTGTGAATTACACACTAAGCCTGAATTGAACAGCTCTGAGTTGGGCTACAGATAATTCTGCAAGCAGCCCCACAAGGGTTTTTCAGGTTTTTTTCTACATCACATCCTTTCAGGATTTTGTGAGCAGTTAAATCACTTTTGGTTCCAAGATTACTAACACATTCTGATATTCTTGGTATGTATGTGGATTCACAGCATCTTCTTGGAGCAACCTGGTGTCCCTGCCCATGGCAGGGGGTTGGAACTAGATAATCTTTAAGGGCCCTTCCACCCCAAACCCTTCAGGGATTCTATAATGAAAAGCACAAGGATGGTGAGCAGCTGATGATAAACCACACAGAACTGTAAAAGCTCTGTTTCTTGCTTCTAATCCAGGCTGGTTTCTAATCCAAAACAACATTCCCAATGGAGAAATAAATTTTCTTAATTTCCTTCCTTTAGGGATAGTGACTTGGATTTAGGATGCAGTTGTGTAATCTCAAATTAAGCCCTGGTCCAACTGTTTTAAAGATGCATTTCTCTAAAATGCAAGACTGTCATTCTGAAAAAGCAGTGCTGGAGGAGATGAAGATTAACAGCAGTGCTGTGCTTCTAGGAATGCTTAGAAATTACTTGGAATTTCTATCTAAAACTTAAAAAGACATTTAAAAATTTAAAAATACTTTAAAACTATTCATTTGGTACCATATTTTCTTTTAACAAAAGAAGGTGCTTTAGTTCTTACATAGTATTATAAATAATCTACACAGGATAACTACTAACATAAATTATTAATAAACCATACCTGGATCCTGGCTTTCTCAATAAACTCAAAACATTCAGGGAAATAGGAGGTAATATCAGTTTCTGGGAGGTCCAGAATGGAAATGGTCTTGTATATAAAGTCATCAAGAAAGGCATTTTGGACTCCATATGCCACATTTAAAACATGAGTGACCTAGGTAAAAAAAAAAAAAAAAAAGAAAAAAAGAGAAAAAGGCATTTTCTGAAGACAGCAAGCAAAACAAGCAGTAACAAAAGTGCATTAGTCTTTAGGCATACACAGACTCTACCTTACACTGATGCAAAGTTCAGTTTTACATACATATGTTGTCTGTGGTATGCTTTTCTCCAAGCAAAGTTTTGAAGTGTGCTAATACATACTGTGATAAATCTCAGGGTTTTTCTGAGAGGGAATGAAAAGATCAGTGCTCAAACACAGACTAAAAAATGGATTTTCAACAGAAAAGGGAGTTCTCATCACATGGTTGAAAGAGAGAGCAGTAGGAATGAAAGCACAGAGCACCCAGCAATTACCCAAATTTCAAGCCTGCTCTAACCCATCATCTTAACGTTCCTTCTGGTTAGTGAGCAGAAACATTTGGTGAAGCAGGAGAATTCAGAGTAAACTACACCTGTTCTTGGCAGGCGACACCACCTCTGGCCTCCTGCCATCTCTGCTCTGTTCAGCCTATAACCAGGTTGTGGATTATTTAAGGTTACAGTAAAATGACATTTAGATGGCACCAGATGCCAACCTGGTGCATGCCCTGTTCTGCACAACCACCACTGTCCAAAAACCTTATCAGCCCATTACTGCAACAGAGAAGAGTAAAAAGACAAAATTGTGGGACAGACTTAGAGAAGCTGTTTTGTTTTTTCTAGTTTCATCAATCCACATAAGGCAAGGGGGAATGGTGCTGCTTAGTGTCTGAAATGAAATATCTATGGCAGTGTAGGAGTCTGTTCCATTAAACAGCTCTAAACAATCATCACTCTTGCAAGGAAGCAAGCTTCTTTTCAGTGGTACCTAGCAACAGGATGCTGAGCAATTGCCATGAACCAAAACGTAACAAGTTCCACCTCAGCATGAGCAAGGACTTCTTTAGATTGAGGGTGGCCAAGCACTGGAACAGGTGCCCAGGAAGGTCACAGGGTCTCCCTGTCTGGAGACATCCCAAAGCCACCTGGACACGTCCCTGTGCCACGTGCTCGGGGTGACCCTGCCTTGGCCGGGGGTTTGCACTAGAGAATCTCCAGAAGTGCCTTGGAAGATTCTGGGATGCTCTGACAGCATTTCAGCTTCTCGTGAAGCCAACAGAAACCCATCCACCTGCTAACGGAGCAGCCTCTTGAAAATACAAGCAGAATACATTTTTCCTGAGATTCGCTAGAGGATATTCCAGAATTTTTAATGTACAGGAGAAGCGCGCTGCGCGCATGATGCGAGATGCCCACGAAACGCTACCTTGTGCTTCCTCATCGTCTCCAGGTCGTGAGCAGCATCCTGCGACCCTGCGGAGAGAGACAGAGCGTGCCCGTGTCTGCACCGAGCCCCGGCCCGCCCGGCTGGAGCATCGCTCCCCTGTCCCAGCGCACTCACCCAGCAGCAGCCAGGGCTTCACCACGCCGACCTGCAGGTCAGCGCTCAGGTCCTGCACGAAGCCGCCGCCGGGCGCCGCCTCCTCCTCCTCCTCCATGTGCAGGCAGGCGCCGCGCCACGTCTCGACGATCCTGCGGCCGGTCAGCGTGGTGACGCGGGTGCGCTGCTTGCGCAGGTTGGCCCTGGAGAAGCTGCGGATCTCCTGGGCGAGGGAGTGCATGGCGCGACTGCCGGCAGTGCCGTGCCGAGCCGCGCCGTGCCGTGCCGTGCCGTGCAGCGCCGGCCGCCCGTGACGCGGCCCCGGGGGCGGTACCGCGGTGCCTCGGGTGCCACGGCCCCCCCGGGCCGTCCTGGCGTAACTGAAGGAGCCTTTAAATAGAAAAGGCGTCTTTGCAGGCCATGCAGCAGCGCCTGTCTGGCTCTAAGAGAGACCTGCTTGTCGGGAAGCGTGGGAAAAGATTGGAAAAACCTAAATGGAAAATATTAGAGTTAAATATATATGTTGGGTTTATTTTTTCCAAAAAGGTAAAATGAAGGAAAGGGTGAAAAGGTGAGGTTGCTTCTCCCTTATTCCCAAACTAAATGCCCGTGTTTTCATGTATTCTCTTCAGTGTACCATTTGCAGTGTTCCACAGCTGGTACACAGTCAGAGAATCACAGCCTGGTTTGGGTTGGAAGAGACCTTAAAGACCATCTCATTCCAAGCCCCCTGATATGTGCATGGACACCTTGCATTAGACCAGGTTGTTCCAAGCCCCATCTTGGCTTTCAGCGCTTCCAGAGATGGGGAATCCACAGCTTCTCCGGGCAACCTGTTCCAGTGCCTCACCACCCCCAAAGTAAAGAATTTCTTCCAGATATCTATTTCCCCTCTTTCATTTTGAACCTCTTCTTTCTTGTCCTATCACTGAGGTTCCTGATGAAGAATCCTCTTTCTTGTAGGTCCCTTCAGACAATGGAAGCCTACATAAGTGTGTGAAACATTTGTTTGCAACGTGAGATGGTAACACTCTTAACTTAAATTCTGCCAGAAGTGCTTTTCAGTTTGCTAACAATCCTCTGTGCTGGCTTATAGAATAAGAAGATACTACTATGATACTTCTCCTCTTGTGTTATCCCTCAAACTTATGCTGGAGAGATCTGATGACTGAGAAGATCCTCCTGATAGTCCCCCAGAATGCAGCACAGACCAAAGGCAGCCACGTAAAGAGGTCTACAAATGCCTTGGCAGTTCAAGAAGCAGAGAATGCTGTTAGGAACTGCAAGAGCTTGAGTTATTTCTGGGAATGCCAGAGGCAGTTTTCTAACAGGAATGAGATGTAAAATCGAGGTAATCTAAAAAAGGTAGAATACCCCACACACCACCTGCAGCTGATGGGGTGGTAGGACGTGTGGACAGCAGCACTGCAGCTGAGCCAGCCAAGGTGTGCCCTCTTTCTGTTAAGTTCTCTTAGGCCTCGGTTTGGTTTGGGTTGTGTCTGGTGGAAATTAAGAGCATAAACAGGGATTGATTTCTGGCAATAAAGGGATCTTATTCTGAGGTAAAGGGAGGTCTTTGAGTCTTTGTTCCCCATGGCTAGAAGTGGACTGGGCTTCATAGCAGTTACCTTAAAACAATAATGATGCAGAAGTTGATTAATTTGTTCTTTGTTAAAGTCTTATCAGCTATTTTGATGAAGTTGACCACAAAGGAAGCGATGGAGAGCTTTAGGTCTGTGGCCCAGACCAGCAATTACATAAAATGTCATGGATGTTTTCAAGCTGTATTGGCTCCCTGTAGCTGCCTCTGTGAAAGACAAGCTCTTAGGGTATCTTGCAAGAATGCAGAGTGCCTTGAAAGGGTTAAAAGCATCATGCCTAGGCATACTTGGGCAAGAACAAGAAGCATTGTAACCAATGTAGAAGCTAGATGAGACTTGGCAAGAAATAGAGAACAAAACTTGCAAAAAATGAAGGACAAACCTTGCCAAAACTTTGTAAACAAGTTTCAAGCAAGTTTTTCCAGTGAGGAAATCAATAGAACAGCTAACAGATTGCACATGCCTAAAGGAGAAAGGTGAAAAGGGCACGGTGATGAAGACATCCAGCCTTCCTCAGGAGACCCCCAAGGAAGACACAGAGCCTTCCTCAGTGCCACCATCGGGATGCACTGTGCTTCATGTATGCTAATGATAGTGATGAGTTTTAGGAAATAATTTTCATAACTGTGGAAAATGGATTGATAGAAAATTCTCAAAACCTAACAGAAAGCTCACACAGTGTGCATCTCTATGCAAACCTTGAGATAAGAAATGCTGACTTAGAAATGCCATGGAATGGGACAGACATTGTTAAGAGAGAAATAGAACTAGAAACAAGTTTCAAAGAGGGGGCTTAAAAATAAGACTAGATAGTTTGGAGAAATAGAACTATCAAAAATGCATTTTAGTGAGACCCACACGGGGTAATTTAAGGTTATTAACTATTAAGGCATTTACAACATAGTGTAGCAAAAGCTGATAGACCAAGAAACGCTTGTAGTGTATTGTAATTAAGACTAGTTTTTCCTTAGAAAACCCTTTTCTAAGGAAAACTATGAATGTAGCCATATATTGTGATTTGCTGTGTGCCCAGGTGTGCACTGTTAGGAGCACTGAATAGTGCACTGAATAGAACAAATACTAATTTCTTGGACTTTGTCTCAGAAGTGTCTCTTGGCCCAGTTTGGGGGGATTCAGTCTCATATCAGGAGATTTGCAAGCCTTAGAAAAATTTTTTTGCAGACAAGCCCCAGCATCCTCCCCTTAGAATAACCAGGTGCTTTGTTCCAGCTTCTGGCCCGTATGAGTATGGGGTGTGCTGTGTAAGCTTTTGCAAGACTAAGACAAATCTGTAAGACACTTGCAATTAAACTTAATAATACAGCTAGGTATTGTTCCTTGGTCTCAAAGGAGGAAGATGCAATAGGTGTGGATGCAGAAAGGAAGCTGACTCCACAGTAATAAATTAATTTTCTGCTAGGGATGTTGATCCTTGTTATAGCTGCCTTAAACACCAGGGGTCCCTACTGGACAAAAAAATCTGTGCTGCTCTTTTCTCCCTGAAATCTAAACACACTGCAGATGTTTATATGCAGAATTATTATCTTTATATATATATATATATATATATATATATCTTATTTAGTGTGTCCATTTGTGTCATAAGCATTAGATCTAGCTTGAATATTCATAGACACTATTTCTTATAAAGCAGGCATTTCCATGATGATGTCAAGTTGTTAATACTGCTCATTACAGGGTGGAAGAGAAGATAATTGTGAATTAGAGATTTAAACTGGGATTTCAGCTCACGGATGATTTCCTGTATTTGTCTTGCATGCTTTGCTGAGAGTAGAAGGCTTTAAAGGTGTGGCAGGAGCTGGATGTTTTCTCTACTTCCTTGGCTGAAAGTATTTATGGTATTTCTGGATCTTCAGGTTTTGAATACATATCAATGCAAATGCAGTGAAGTAATTTTTAATGTTATGATTCTTCTGTTTTGTCTCTCAAGAAATTCAGCAGAACCTGTTCTATGGGTATACAGTAAGAAATGTGTACTGTAATTACTAATTATTGCACAAAGCAGCTTGTACATATTCAAAGAGCTTATAAGGCAGTACATCACTGTATCTATTTCCTTCCACTATGATTTTTGTCTAGGTACTGCCTGTACTTATTGATGCAAAAGAGCTGGCTCCCATCTGAAAAGTGATAACCAGACATTCCAGATAGCTGACTTTGAGAAACCAGCCTTGCTCTCTGAAAGATGCATATATTAGAGGGTTGAGCTAGATTGTAAAATGCACTGAAAATTGGTAGTTGATTCTTAGGTTGGTAATTTAACTGAAGTGGAGAACTGAAGCTTAATTAATGCGCTAATTACATCACATTTCAAACTGCATTTACCAGATGACTTTGAGGAGTAAGAGAAATGGGGGAGAAAATCAAAGTATTGTGAGCTAATATCTAACTCTGATAATGCCTCTGCTTCAAGCTCTATGTTCTGTGGTTGAAAATAACAGAGAAGTTGGAAATAACTCTGTGCACCAGTTGGTGACTGGATGACTGTGAATCATGAATGTAGTGTGGTGATGAGAAATGCAAGTGTGACAGTGAAATGCATGAGGAGGTATTTAAAACAGAGAGGGGGAAATAATAATGCCATTGTGTGAAGTTCTACTAAGCCTTTTTGGAAGTGCATTTTGCTATTTGGGGACAATGGGATTCGGGAGAGTTGATCTCATACTTGACACAAGTGCAGAGAATAGTTTAAAGCTTAAATGGCACTGCATATGTCAGATTCTTATCAAAGCACTCTGTGCTACATGAGCCCCTTGGAACAGGCAGCTCCTGTCCATGCTGACTTGGGAGGGAGCAGTGTCCTGCAGGGGGACTATTTCACCACCATTTGTGCCAAAACACACTTACACCCTTCTGAGTGTATGTAATGCTTCATGCATTACAGGATGCTGTCTCCTACACAGCCTGGAGACCCTCAGCTGGAGGAGAATCTTGGTTTCAGCTTTGCAAAGCTGTCAAGACATGATGCCTACTCCTGTAGGCACAGTTTGTGGTGATTGGGAGTGGGGCTGTGGCTGAGCCTCATCCCCAATTGGTTACAGCTGTGAGAAGCAGGTGAGCAGCATTGAAGGTAACGAGACACAGGGCACTGACCAACCCCCAAAGGGAGCAGAGGGCACACAGGGGCAGTGCATCAACAGGAGGGGATAAAGGCTGGGCTGAAGAGCAAGGGCAGATGCTTCCAGCCTGCTGAAGGGGTGAGGTGTTTTTCTTTATGGGCTGAAGCTTTCTGAAATTGTGTGATGTTACTGTGTGTCTAGTGGCTGCCTCAGCTGCTGTATGTGCTGTGGCATTTACTGTACAAACTCCTGGTGCTTTTCCCTTTCTGAAGCAGTTAGAAGTCACAAGCTCAGAGTAATTCACACCCTGAGCAATAAGGCAAGATACTCCAGCCATCCTGCCATGGACTATGACTTGCTCCCATTTCCCTTCACTGGCATATATTTCTGTGTCATGCCATTACCTTCACGTGGAGAGGTTTTGGCTGAAAGACAACTACTCCTTTCTTCTCATCAGTTTGTTTTTCCTCCTTTAGACTTGCTAGTGTCTGGTGGGGGAGGAATATTCTGGAAGAAAAATAGAGTCTCAGCAATGCTGATGGTGAATGATTGGTTCTCTTTTCCAGCCTGCTTGTGTACCTGTGTCCCACATCCTGAATGAGGATGCAGATATTAATTCCTTTGCTCTCATATTCAATAACGTCCCAGGAAAATCTATCATAAGTGGAATCCTGACTGGAAAGTGAGACTTTAAAAAGCTAGTGAAGTTCAGACAAAATCTTGGAATGTTATTTTGCGAAGAAGAATGAATTTCCAGCAAGGCCTCTTCAAGAACTTAATGT